AAATAAAAAATTTTTTTTTTTTTTTTTTTGTTCATTAATAGATCATTAATATGTCCATCCAAAGGACTGTTTAAAAGCAAACATTAAAAAATACCATGAAATTTTACATACGCCAGGGATCAAACACATACCGCAGTTATGAAGGTAAATTGGAGAGCGACATATATCACGCTATGCAAAATCAACCGGAAATGTTATGTTTGCTGATGCTCAAATGACCAACCTCTGTTTTGACTTTCGATTTTAGTACTAAGCCTATTATAATTTGAATTAGGTACGACTAGAGAAATTTTCATAAAATTGGAGCACCTACCAAGCACGAATCGAGTGTAGGCAAAGTATGCAGGACCAAATAAGTAGCCATTCAAATTTTTCTTGAACAATACTTGTAGAGATCACTAGAATGTGCTAGTTTACGAGCATAATCTGCAATGTTTCGCCTATGAGATAGATTTTAAAATAAGTAATAGGTTCAATCAATTCGATAAACTTTTGTATTTTCATAACAATCATTAACCGCAATGTAAATCCTTTGAGTATGAAGTAAATGAAAAGTTGATTAGTTCATACCATTTCTAGAGTCTATATTACTTACCTTCGAGATATGCCCATAGTTATGTCCATATGTGAGGGTGTGAATCTACTTAAAAGTCAAACCTAATGTCTTCCAAAAATAATTTTTACGGTTCCTAAACAATCTTGGACTGTCTGCGTTCCCAAAAATTTAAATCCAATCTGAACGGACAAAAAATCTAACACAATCCTTGTCGTGGAAATTAAATAGGACCTTAGGGCATCTAGACATTTTAAAACATGGATTCTCATTTCAAGAACTTGCTAAATTTTCGTTGACCAACCAAGAGCTTTGCTGCCACTCCTTATCCTTAAGGTTACCTGTTGTATCATACACTGATTACATTGTTTTCCACGTTTCATACTCCCTATTTCTTCTTAAGGTAAGGTAAAGGGACAGTTCTTTAATTACATCTTATGATCCTAGGGTGCTTGATGTACTAAAAGTGTCCTAGCTAAGGTCAACATAGAATCGTCATAGCTCTAACACCCTATTCTTATACCAATACCTTCATGCAGGCTTTAACTAAGGATATAATACTACAAAAACGTCATAAATAGCATGAATCATAAAGATCTCATCCTAAAACCCTAAACCCTAAACCCTAATACCACACCCTTTTCTTTTTTCAACCAATTGATATGATAAATCTCATAGCAAACGAGCATGAAAACGATCGTGGGTAAACAAAAAAAACATCAAATACCACTTATTATTAATAATATGATATATCAATAATAGACCTAATGAACGAGTATTTGCAAATGCTAAATTTATTGTTATTGTGTTATATTCGCATTCAATATTTTGTCCGTAAAAAGAATGTGCTAGAAATTTATGATAAAATATAAGAGTGGTTTTGTTTTTATAACTGTCCTAAGCTAAAATGAGTAACCAGTTGGCCTATTTTCCATATATTCCATATAGATTGTTCAATAAGATACGAAAATGATTGTATTTCCACGCTTGTAAACCACAAATCTGCCCATAAATACATGCTCTACCATCACTAATGCAATAACCCAAAACATCAATTTTGTGTATCATTCATTTAATTTCTTCGATCCCGATGGCCAAGTTTTGTTGCTCCCTATTTTTCCTGATTCTTCTCTTTTCAGGTTCGTTAAATCGATATCTCTGTCTTCGTTTCAAATTATTAGACATGCATCAATATATTTAGATAGCAGGTCATCTCTATGTTTAAAAATTTAAAAATTTAGTTTTATTTTAGTCTAAATTAATAAAAATATTTCAAAATTTGATTCCAAGTACTCTTAAACTTTCAAAAAGTTGAAAAGTACTTTGACGGTAGAAAATTTTGTTTAACAAATACTCATAAGACTTCATAATTGTTAAAAAAATAGGGTTTCAAAAGTCTTATTAGTACCGTTAAAAACACCTTTACATTTTTTAAAAAGTTCAAAAATACCCTTGAAAATTTGAAATATTTTTAAAGGGAGCAAGGAACCATTAGAATCCTCTTCGGTGGATATAGTTTCACTCCCGCTAACAACCTTTTAAAGGTTCTGTTCTTATCATTCTAGTTGTTGGTGTTGAGTTATTCTTGAGCTGTTGGATACTAAACATTGATGGTACCTGCGTAGCAACCCATTCAGCAATTGGTGCGGCTAAGTTATTGAACGGATGCTCGCCGCAAGAGTGTCAGCAGAAGTGTGTAGAAAAGTATCCTGGATCAACATCTCTGTGCGTCACGGCCACTGCATCAGCTTTTGCCCTTACTTGCTATTGCTTCAACCGTTGCACTCAAAGCCCCTGCAATTCCTCTTACCCTTGTTTGCTCTTGCTTCCACAGTTGCCTTAAAGAACACACTCATTTTTAACCTATTCGCCATGTCATGTAATGAAATGGTTATGTAATAAAATGGTCGGGTGACCAATCGTATCCTTTATTCTATTTATCCTACCTTCTTCTACTATACTTTGTTCGGGATACGAGTTCCCACACGAGAAAACCTAATATTCTTATTCACTCGAGTGTTAAATTTAAATCACCATCTATATTAGTTTGTAATGCACTAATGAAATGGTGGTGTAATAAAATGAATGTAACGACCCATGCCCATGTCCAAGATTTGGATCAGGATTAAGAATTTGGATTTGATACTTCATGACTCAAACAACATATAAAAAATAATTAGTAGCTCCGACCTAGACCAACTAAATAAGTAGCTATACTATTGACATGATTGGAGGAATTGTTTTATTTATGATAACAACGTGACCAATGGCCCTGCACGTGTCATATGTGTGATACGCTTTGATATGTGATGTTATATTATATTTCTCTATATGATATGTCAAATAACAGTGTGGTATAAATGAAATGTCATGTTATGTTGAGCTATGATATGCTATGACATGCCATGATATGTTTTGAAATAAGGAAATCTATGATGCACAATTATCGAGTTTAATTATGTGTTGAAAGAATAGGGATTGTCTTGCATTATTTATTGAAAAGTATGGGGACCTCATGTGTAATTGTTTGTTCATGTACATCGGGATACTTCTCCTTTATGATGAGTAGCACACACCATGAGACTAAAATGGCCATTGTGTTTACGATGCTATGACAGTTGCTATTCCCTTTGGGTGTCCGACAACAACTAGTCAGTGAGTGCTAGCCCAACTAGCAAGCATAATGGGTGTGCAAACCCACTTGGTGAGCCCACGCTTGCACGTGTGAGTCGTGTGTAGACAAGTAATAGACAATGAACTTAGTCTAGACTGGAAAGCAACCTAAGAGAATGAAATAAAATGATGTATTCAATGATATGTCCCCATGTTGTATGTGATTGCATTTTCACCCAAGAGTCGGGTCACCGACTGTATTTCTTAAAATACTCAAACTTGTATCATTATTATATTTCAAGTAAAGGTAAGACACCCCTATATGGATGACAGAGGCGTTGTGTTAAAGACCAAGAAACTTGTGTTCGAGTAGTTACATTTTATTTATCTTGTCGACCTTAGATTAGATTAAGACATTGTTTTATTGTTTTTCTCTGTTTTATTTTCTAGTTCTTGGATATATGTTTTATTCTTGTTCCCACATGTTATAGATTGATTTAAGAATTTTATTTTCAACGTGTAAGTCCATGATATCATTTTTGAAATATTTTAAAGGAATGTTATCACAATTAATAGTCATGTCATGCATATAGTAACGATCTTATTTCAGTAAAAAAAAAAAAGAAGGGCATGAATGAGTATAAAAATATTTAATAAATTACATGGGATACTAATAAATTTGAATATAACTATATTTGAAATTTTGTTCGGATTGTGTTTAATTCTTTATTATTTTAGGGTTAGAAGGTCATTCAATTGCCCATAAAAAAAATATTTGTAATAAAAGCTACCATAATTGGCCACTTTCCAAATTGGATCGTCCAATAAAATACAATAAAATACAAAATGATCGTGTTTCCATGCATGTAAATCACAAATTTACTTATAAATATATGTTCTTTCGTCACAAATCAAATAACCCAAAAGATTAATTTTGTTTATCAAATCATTAACTTTGTTTATCATTGATTTAATTTCTTCGATCGAGATGGCCAAGTTTTCTTGCTCTCTATTTTTTCTTGTTCTTCTTTTCTCAGGTTTGTTCGTAAGATATCCTTGTTTTGATCTTCAAATTATGTTTAAAAATTCTAAAGTTGATTTGATTTTAGTTTTTAGTATGTTTGTTTAAAGATTTTCAAATTTTTGCAGCTGCATTGATGGTTCCTCGAGTAGCCCATTCAGCAGATTGTGAGGAGAAGTTGTATGACGGATGCCGACCACAAGACTGTCAGATGAGGTGTCTAGACAAACATCCTGAATCAACGGCTCACTGTGTGGCAGCCACTACACTTCCTTTTACTCGTTCTTGTTTTTGCTTCTTCCCTTGCGCTTAAAATCGAGTGCTTTTAGTCATATCATATGATGAATGTAATAAAATGGTTGGGTGACGTTTTCGTTATTCAACACAGAGTTTAAGTTATTCTATTTATCCTATCTTCTTCTACCATACTACTACACCTCCATGGTATCCAAGAATGATAAAGGAAGCTTCCATATCATTAGTAGTTGGTATAGTATCAACAGAGCTTTCACTTTCCTTCTTTCTTAGGTACCAATACTGTCAAGTTAAGGCTAGTACCATTAGGGTTGTGTGACTGAAAATTTAGTTGGATTACCTTACACAACATATCCATGGTGAGAGAGGATGTGAGATTATGGTAGTAGTTTTAATAGATGGCAAGCACATGTGGGCCGCTCCCCCAATATTAGGTGACTTAGATGGTTTTGTGCAAAAGGTTTGCAAGCTAACCTTTTATGGGTGATGAGAGTAGGCTAGCACACACCATAATGCCCCCATCAGAGAGAGTTTTGCGACATAGTGTCTCAACCTAGAGCACCGATTCTACACTGCTTAGGCAAGGCAAGCTACCTAAGTCTAGGAACAAAAAAGTATTTCACTCCAGATATGAAATTTATCGCCCAGCAGACTTGTGATGCGGGTGAACCACCATCTTACACCGAATGGGTTTGTTCCAGAGCGTTAACCCGTCCTTGTATTTGAGTTTTTTGTACTTTATTTCATAATTGTATCTCAAACTAATATTCTCCGTTGGTAATAAACTTGAATAGCATCGTCTTACAATTGAATTTAATTTTATATTTAATTTTGGTGCTATGTCTTGATCTCGATTTGAATTTTATCCAATTCTATTTTTATTTTATTTTACTTTTATTTATATTTATTTTTGTCCATATCTTTTTAGTCCTAGTCCATGTTTTGAAGCCTAAAAACTCGAGTCGAGACATAAAGACATAACCTTTGTTGAGAATGAATGTTTCATTCGTTAGAATAATCGACTTTTATTTTATTTAGAATTGAACAAAATGGAAAAAATTAAGCAGACTTGAGAGAAACATTTTGGCTCAACCCAAAAGGTCTCAACAGAAAAAATTGGAAGAGTTTTTGTCAATAATATATTTGAATATCTAATATATTAACATATAATATCTGGTTTAAATCAAATTTAAATATAATCCATATATATTTAATTAATTTAAATCTCATTCAAATTTTAAATATAGATTTAAAAAAAAATTAATAAACATTAATTATTTTAATATTTACAAATACAATAAATATAACTATAATATATCTAAAACATTAACTTTTCATTTTAAAAATTCAAACTAAAAATATTTTTCTTTTATATTTAATATATTAAATATTAATTTAGACATCTAGATTTTTTTCGCAACTAAATGTTTTGGTGTTACTCTAAATTAACAAATAAACTTTATAGACCTACAAATTATAACATCCAATAATATAAATTAAGTAATCAACTTCTATTTATTAACAATAGGCACTCCACAGTAAACCTAAAGTTGCATTTTTATATATTATAAAACTAGTTGTGTTTATTGATATAATCATTACAAGAAAGTTGATCATTCACAAATTGTTTGTAATTATAATTGGGTCACAAGTTCGTTTTACCTTGAGTACCACTAATTCTGTTTGAATAAGTTATTTATGATCCAATCATAAAACACTTGGGTCAATGAGAGGGTGAGGCCTCATTGTTCAAGTCTCAAAATCAGAAGTAACTCATCTACTTACCCTATGTGGGTAATGAGTAAATTTCATCTCGTGAAGTTAGGCTTCAAACTACCTATTTGGTCCAGTCCCAAAGAATGATAGACATATTGAATTAGATACAAGAACCCTTCTCACTCATACAAATCAAAGGACAAGCCTTTACGCGCAAAAGTTCCAAAGTCATTAAAATCAAGATCAAGTCGCATATGATCATTATATGGAATATTAATCTTTTCAATTGACCGATTTATAAAAAGAGATCAAATATTTTGTGGTTTAGTTTTATACAAACTCATTGTATACGAAATAAAATGGGTCGTATCAATAATTTGGATCAAATCATCTGCAAATATTACAAAATGGGTCGTATCAATAATGTTTCTGCCATAAAACACCCAAATTATAGACCTAGGTTATTACTTGAATATAATTTGACTGTAATATCAACCACATATTATTCAAGATTGCATCAATAACTTTAGTGAATAATTTTAAATTGCAAATGAAATAATCAAAATTATTATTAAAACTTATACAATTAATTACTAGGCTTTAGGACATACATCTCAACAACATAAATTCTTATCATACTAGTGACTCATCTACTTGACGTGGTTTCTACCCAATATAATGAATACGTCGTGCTCTAATGAATTAACTCAAAATTCGAAGGAGCAATTCATGAATCTTCATTCCTATTAAATTCATACAAAGCATAGAAACACAACCATCATACATGCTTAAGTAACCCTAACCCTATTCTCAAGGCAAGAGATCATAGGCATTCATCACTTGCTCATTCCACCTAACATCACCTCAAAAATCACGAAAAAGCTTGTGAAATACAATCACATGCTCAAAAAATTTATCAAAGCAGCTCGAGAACAAGAGCATGGATGAAAGTTAATTAGGCTTAAATAGATTAACAAAATCAAAGAAAAGTCGTGCATCGTGTTTCGTTGTCTTAGTCATATATATCTTTGTCCTAACCGATCAAACATGGCATAATCAGTCATGTCTTAATGGATCCTAGAATGATAGGTGCAAAGGAAATCAAGAATGAATACTTATTATCTTTACGTATAAAAAATAGTATCATATTAAGAAATGTTTTTAGATTGGATAGTATCGGTTATTATTTCAATATCCCATCATTCAATTGCCATAAAAGAAATATCCATTAAAATCCTATCGTAATTGGCCACTTTCCAAA